GCAACAGTCTGGATGAAACTGTTTTTGTGAAGCATTTTGATTGTGTCAAAAAAAACATGTTTTATCTAGTTTTGTATGCCATTTTTTTTGGTAAATCAAATAACTCAGCTATGATTTTTGATCTTTTTTCTACTCATTCTCTAATTGCTAACAGTCAATCAAACCAAAACTCTGATCCTTTTTCTTCTTGTACCAGATTCAAACTGGCTATAGTGAACTAGGAGCAAAAGAACAGTTTTTTTCTATCTTTCACGCCGTTAATCTCGTTACTTATCTAACGCATTCTTATCCGTTGATAATGCCACGTGCACATCATCGCTTGTAAGGTGGCTATTAAAATCTCTAATGATTTTTGATTTTGAGAACAATTAAAAGGCCAACGCTACGAAAATGTTTGATTTTTAAAGTAATTGACATGTCTTTCTGTATTTCTCTGTCTCTCTTTCGCGGCGTTGAGTTCACATTCTCTCTTTAGACAGCTTTGAGAATCTAAAGACAATTCCATTTCTCTACAACTTTCTTCTTTTTTTCCAAAAAAGATTGAAACTTTATCTCTTCTTCTCTTGTCCATAATATTTTTGCAAACTCTAATCCTGTCTCTTTCTGCTAGCCTCTAATTTTCTTCTTTAGCGTCTGTCTTTTTCAACGGACGTGTCTTGGTTCTTTAAGGTAATTCAATACTTAAACTTGAAGCATCGCCTTCTTTCTAGTGTCTGAATTTTGTATTAGATCTGACTCAGCTTTGGACTAAACAAAACTTTTTCTCTTTCCATTGGCTGCATGCCAAAAAAAAAGCCATTTCTTTCCCAATTCTGAAACTTTGTTGCGAATCAGTTCTTGGTCTGGGTTTTTGAAGTTCTGTTAATCGAATTCGCATCAACCCTTATATTGATTTGAATTTGTAATCAGATTCCTTTGCTTACTTTGTTACAAAAGATTGGGGCTTTGATGCTAATTTGGTATTGTATAGACAACTTCGATCGCCTCTGAATTGGGTTTCTTCGTTGGATAGGATTAAGTGGTTAGGGAATGAAGAAACTGTATAGGAAGCTGGTTTCAATCAGAGACCCATTTGCTAGAGTGAAAAGACATGTTAGTTTACATTCAGGATTTAGAGCTTTAAGGGACAGAAAATGGATGTTCCCTTTTCTAGCTAGCTTGATCATGTCGATTATACTCCTGATATTGTCCATTTACGGAAAATTCGATGCGGAAGATCAGTTGCCATTAGATGTTGTTTCAGAGTCTAATGAATACTTTGTAGAATCAGATTTCAGACAATCTTTGAAATCAAAGGCTGATGTTAGTCCAGAGCTTCCTCGGTTAGCTTATCTGATATCGGGAACAAAAGGCGATAGTCATAGGATGATGAGGACTTTACAAGCTGTGTACCATCCTAGAAACCAGTATGTTTTGCATTTGGATCTTGAGGCTCCACCTCGAGAACGGATGGAACTAGCAATGACTGTGAAGAGTGATCCAACATTTCGTCAAATGGAGAATGTTCGGGTGATGGCTCAGTCTAATCTTGTTACTTATAAAGGGCCTACAATGATTGCTTCTACTCTTCAAGCTGTTGCTATTTTGCTAAGAGAAAGCTTACATTGGGATTGGTTTATCAACCTTAGTGCCTCGGATTATCCTCTCGTAACTCAAGATGGTTAGTGAATGAATCTCCTTTGCATAAAGATACTCCCTTTATCATGTTATAGTAGTCTTTGATCTGTTTTTTTGTTCTTTGGCCATTTTGCACTTACAAAATTTTGTCGCTTTTCTTTCTGCTATTGCAGATTTGCTATATGTCTTCTCAAATCTGTCACGGAATCTCAATTTCATCGAGCATATGCAGCTCACCGGATGGAAACTGTAAGTATAACGATGAAAAGAAACGCTTTAGTTAAGTCACACCGGAATCTCAAAGCATGTGTACTTACTTGGACCATTTTCGCAGGAACCAGAGGGCTAAATCGATCATTGTTGATCCTGGCCTATACCTATCAAAGAAATCCGACATTGCTTGGACTACTCAACGACGATCACTTCCCACTTCTTTCAAGCTATTCACCGGTTAGCTTCTTCAATCTCACAGTTTCATTGACCTGAAAACATTATGAATGTCCTGAAGATGAATTTATGTCTTCATTCCGCAGGCTCAGCTTGGATAATGTTGACTCGATCTTTCCTCGAGTACTGCATTTGGGGATGGGACAATTTCCCAAGAACGATACTAATGTACTACACGAATTTCGTATCATCTCCTGAAGGATACTTACACACAGTAATCTGCAACAGCAAAGAGTTTATCAACACTGCAGTCAGTCACGACCTTCACTACATTGCTTGGGACAATCCTCCAAAGCAGCACCCCGTTTCTCTCTCGTTAAAAGATTTTGATAATATGGTCAAGAGCAAAGCTCCATTCGCGCGTAAGTTCCACAAGAACGATCCTGTGTTAGACAAGATCGATAAAGAGCTATTGGGACGTACACACCGGTTTGCAACGGGAGGATGGTGTGTCGGGAGCTCGGATAATGGCAATGATCCGTGCTCTGTACAAGGCAATGACTCGGTGTTGAAACCAGGTCCTGGTTCTGAGAGATTGCAGGAGCTTGTTCAAACACTGTCGTCTGAAGAATTTAGGAGAAAACAGTGTTCTTGAGGTTATATAATGCTGATGTGCATAATGTCATGCTGTATATTGTTTGATATATAATTTTTGGTTATAGAAATTTTGAAGTAACACTGATGAATCAAGGAAGTAGAACATGTATACAAGAGACCAGGAGCAAAAAAGTAGCCCAACAAGAACAATCAAAGGATGTGTTAGGCTTTTATGGGCCCAATAAGCTTTTCACAGCGAAAAACAAAATATTCGCCGTTGCCGGGGATCGAACCCGGGTCACCCGCGTGACAGGCGGGAATACTTACCACTATACTACAACGACTTAGTTGTCAACAGGACTACACAAATATTTAATAAATAATAAAGTAGTCGATTATTCTTGAAATCTGTTATATCGGTTGATGTTTGTTTTGTCGCGTTTCTTGTCGCCAACACCAAAAATCTCCATGTCCTCTTCGTACGCGTTGAACTGCTCTAAATTGATCTCTCTCACTAAACAACTGAGCTCTTACTCAAACCAAGGAAGCCATGAACAAGCTCTTAATCTCTTTCGTCAAATGCATTCTTCTTTCGACTTACCTCTCGACGCACACGTCTTCTCACTCGCTCTGAAATCTTGCGCTGCAGCTTTTCGTCCTGTTCTCGGAGAATCAGTCCATGCACACACCGTAAAATCGAATTTTCTGTCTAACCCATTTGTTGGATGCTCGTTACTCGATATGTATGGTAAATGCTTGTCTGTTTCTCACGCTCGGAAACTGTTCGACGAAATTCCTCAGAGGAATGCGGTTGTGTGGAACGCGATGATTTCACATTATACACATTGTGGGAAGATCAAGGAAGCGGTTGAGTTGTATGAAGCTATGGATGTTATGCCAAATGAGTCTTCTTTCAATGCTATTATAAAGGGTTTAGTGAGTACTGAAGATGGGTCTTATAAGGCTATTGAATTCTATAGGAAGATGACTGAATTTAGATTCAAGCCTAATTTGATTACCCTTCTTGCGTTAGTATCCGCTTGTTCAGTTATTGGGGCTTTTAGATTAATTAAAGAGATTCATTCATATGCTTTTAGGAATCTGATTGAGCCACATCCGCAATTGAAAAGCGGGTTAGTAGAGGCATACGGGCGATGCGGAAGTATTTTCTATGTGAAATTGGTGTTTGAGAGCATGACTGATAGAGATGTGGTTGCTTGGAGTAGCTTGATATCCGCTTATGCGGTTCACGGTGACGCGGAATCAGCTCTCAAAACATTTCAAGAAATGGAATCAGCTAAAGTATTACCCGATGACATAGCGTTTCTGAACGTGCTAAAGGCTTGTAGTCACTCTGGTTTAGCCGATGAGGCTCTTGTTTACTTTAAGAGAATGCAGGATGATTACGGTTTGCGTGCAAGCAAGGACCATTACTCATGTTTGGTGGATGTCTTAAGCAGAGTAGGGAGGTTTGAAGAAGCGTACAAAGTGATTCAAGCTATGCCTGAGAAGCCAACGGCTAAGACATGGGGAGCTTTACTTGGAGCTTGTAGGAACTACGGCGAGGTTGAGCTAGCAGAGATTGCTGCAAAGGAATTGTGGAAGATAGAGCCAGAGAATCCGGCGAATTACGTGTTGTTGGGGAAGATTTATATGAGTGTTGGAAGACAAGAAGAGGCAGAGAGACTTAGAATGGAGATGAAGGAGAGAGGAGTCAAGGTTTCACCTGGTAGTAGTTGGTGTTTGTTCAAAGATTGACATATATATATATTATCATGAAATTGTTGTAAGGTCAGACTCATACAGTCATACACATCTCAAAATCAAGATTGTAATTCACTAAAGGCTTTCTCTCTTAAACCAGACTAGAGATATGAAAAAGTGACCAGGACGGTTAAAATTAAACCGCAATCAATTTTAACGGGGCTAATTTCGACTTTTGGCATAGAGATTAGGTCTAGGGCTTTGACCAGCGACAGTTATTTATATACAACAGCCACCTTCTCTTCTTCGTCGCTTACAATGATCGATCTGAGGGTTTGTGTAGTTAGATCGACTATATGTTTTATATATCTATATGGCTCGCAGGAGCCTCCCGGGCTAATCTGATTAGAGTACTTGAGGAACTAAGCCCCAAAGCTCCTGCTAGATTGTTTTGCCGTTTGTGTTGCAGGCTTGCCTTATTTATTAGGCTTTTCTGTGTCAAAAAAGCTGCTAAATTTATTCTCTTTCGTATTTGTTGATGGAATCGGCGAGTGTAGCTATGTTTTTTTTTTGATTTGGCGATGATTAAAAACTTACCCGCGCTTCTGAGATTGTTAGATCAGTGAAGCATATTCGGTAAAACATGGTTGAATTTCTTAATATGAGCCAATTAATTCTTGTTTTCTTGAAAGTTTTGGTTTTTCTTTTTGGGCAGTGATGAGTAATCGTAACAGCTTGATACGCCAGTTCTGCTTCAGAGAATTCTTGATAGAAAAAGCTGTATTCATATCTGAGCCTATAATTCTTGATAGTGTTGAATCTTCTTACATGTTGAGTATTTTTTTTGGGAATGTCGATGAGGATATAATCCGATTGTACGAGGTGCAGTGGAGCCGAGACCCTGTTTACAGGGAGAACCCCTTGGCAGAAACTGCAATTTCTTTGATTTCTACGGATTTAACTGAGACATCATTTCATAGTTGTGTTGAGTTTAAACTATACACATGCACTTGTATCCTTGTGCTTGTAGTCTGAAAAAACTCAGATATTGTCTGTGTTCTCATCAGCTTGGTCTCTTTTTTTAACCATGAGACTAGAGTTAAACAAGATCACCACATTTTTGTCTCGGAAAAAATTAACCTCACTGTTTTTGTTGTGTTTGTCTGAGTGTATGGGCGCAGGGACTGATGGGCTTTGGTGGAATGTAATTGGTTCTGTTTTTGATGGGAATTATGGTTTTGTGTTCATTTTAAAAGATACATCATTTGGCTCGTTACATCAAGTTCTTAGATGAACAAAAGGATATGAGGATATTGTAGGGAAAGTAAAATTACTGAACTTTTCTGATACATTAATTCCATTTATTGAGAAAAAGGGATGCTACATTCCGAATTTGTTGATCCCCTGTTTCAGATTTGAAGCAAAGGCATCCATTTTCGCCTTCTCCAGTGCCAATCCAATCTCAACTCCATTGCTACCGTCTCTGGACTCTGAGAACGCAATAGATCCACCTGTTTGAATGTGCACTATCTCCATTTTGCAAAGCTTTCCCAATCCAAAATCCAAATCGTACAGGCCCAACTTCGGAGCTCCTGCAATGGAGATTGGAAAACGAGACATGACCCATTTCCTTACTCCATCTCCCCAAGTTGGTGCTGTTTTCAATAGATCGCTTGATAACATGTCTTTGATTCTCGCTGTGATAGCATTTGAAGCTGTCAATATGCCTTTTTCCCCTAGCAAGTCTCGTTTATTGACAGATACGATTCCTGGAGCCATACAGTTTCCAAAGTAGGTCTGAGGTATTGGTTCTGTGTACTTGAGACGGTTCCTGCAATCCACATTAATCATCAAGTGAAAGACTTCGTCTTCCTCGTTAGCCTCTGTTTTGTTGTCTTCAATAAGTGTCTTGATCAAGGTCACCCAAGTGAAAGCTAGAGTCACCACAAAGGTTGAAACAGGTTCTGGAACCCAATGCTTGAGATTGTCTATCTGATTCCGGCTAATTGCAAAAGTTGCTAGGACCATGTTTGGAGGAGGGTCATGTGAGCTGTGGTTTCCAGAGTTTTGGCTCCAAAACCGCTCCAAGTGGCCAGCGGCTACCTCGCCGGGGTCTTTGATCACGTCTCTGCAGGTGTGAATTGGTGGAGAGGGTAGAAGAATTGTGGTGGGATCACTGCAGTTGGACTTGGTCAGTGACATCCAATACTTCATGAAATGGGTAATGGTGACTCCATCCCCTGCAACATGTGTAGATGTGTTGCCTATACAGACTCCTCTTCCAGGGAAGATTGTGACTTGCAGCACCATTACTGGACGGATTTGAGTTCCTTCTGGGGAGACATGAGGAGGTGGTAACTTGGGCAACAAGTCGTGCAACACTCTAATATCTTTGGCAGAATCGGTTTTCAGATCATCGAAATCGGCTCCAACAGACTCTGCGACGGTGAAAACAAGAGAGTCTTCTCCATCGGTGTAGCGTAAGTAAGGAGGATCGGGGCGTGGCAGGATGATAAGGTTACCGGCATAAGGGAAGAAATGTTGGAGAGTAAGAGATAGGGATTGTTTGAGGTTAGGGACAAAGTCTTTGAGGAAACGATCGGTTGAGTTTTGGTAAGAGAAGAAGAAGAGAGACTCGCCGAGTGGGAGAGTGAGCCACGGGGCGTCGAAGAAGGTGAGTGGAAGTGTGGTTGATGGAACGGTGCCTTTTGGCGGTGAGATGTGGCTGGTCTCAATGATCCTTGGAGGTTGGAAGTGAGCCATGGTGTGATTAAGTTTTTGGGGAAATGAGTTTTGTTTTATAAAGCAAAGAGTTGGTTTCTTTTTGCCCTTTGACTTGAACCCACCGGGCAAGTGAAGTTGCCTTTGTTTGTTGTAATTTGATCAGACGCTCTCTCATGTGTCTCAACCTCCACACAACCACCAATGGGCCTTGTTTTTCATTACTTTTTTTCCGTATTATATTTCCTTCGGAAAAGAACATACATAACTACACAGTTAAATTTTTATTTTGTATCCAGTTAGATAAAGAAGAAGAAAATTTGTATCAATCTATATATGCATCCTCGAATTATATTTTCATTAAAAATAATATTTTATTGCTTCGAAAGAAAATAAATACAAAAGTAAGACTCCACATGAAATTTACTAGAACAACAAATAGAAAATAAACAAATTTGGACAAGAATGGGCTTCGATCCTTTAGGGCAAGTAGATAGAAATGCTAATATGATCTCTTCTTCCTTGCTCGAAACGCTATTTCACTTTGATCGATGTTATGAGACGTAAGAAACAATAAACGAATTAAAAATGATACAAATAAATTAACGAGTTCAGATCTCCAATGTGCAAACCCTACATCTATAAACCTTTACATGTACATCTGCTGGTTCTCTGTAACTGTTACATATAAAAGTAGTACATTACTGTTAACGGTCACTTGACGCCTAATTTCCTCTGGCTTTGAGGGATCAATGGTGGTTCTTGATTGTAGTCATCTAGTTACATGAGTAGTTGATCTATGTCCAACATCACATACTCCGCGCCTTCAAAACCAAAATTATCCACATGGTTCCACATGGAGTCGTCCCCGTTATTCTGCATCGAGACGTTATTGTCGTTGCTCTGCATCAAGAAGTCGCTCCCGTTGTTCTGCATCAAGACGCTATTGTCGTTGCTCTGCATCACCAAGTTGTTCTGCATCAAGACGTTATTGTCGTTGCTCTGCATCGAGACGCTATTGTCGTTGCTCTGCATCAAGACGTTGTTGGGTATAAAGAAGTCATTCCCGTTGTTCTGCATAAAGACGTTGTTCTTGTTGTTCGGTATAAACAAGTCGTTCCCGTTGTTCTGCATCATAACGTTGTTGTTGTTCGGTATTGAGAAGTTGTTGTCGAAAGTCTGCATAAAGATGTTGTTCTCCATGTTCGGTAGAAATAATTCGTTCCCGTTGTTCTCCATCAATACATTGTTGTTCTGCGTAAAGACGTTGTTGTCGTTGCTCGGTATAAAGAAGTCGTTCCCGTTGCTCTGCGTCGTTGTAATCATCGTTTGGAACCCAAAACCTTGACCTTGAAGAGAAGGAGGAAGAGGAGCAAGAGGCGACATCATCATGATCATGTCGTCCTTGTAGTTGCTCTGCGGAGGAAAAGCAAGATTCGATGTATGTTGTCGCTCTTGTTGTGGATCTTCTTCCTCAATCAACGTCCTCTCAAGCTCATTAAAAAACTCATCTAAATCAACAAGTTCTCTCTCTAGCCGAGGGACCTCACGATCTTCTCGCTCTAGCTGAGGGACCTCACCATGCTCTTGCTCTAGCCGAGGGGCGTCGTTGAATCCAAGATTCGATGTATTTTGTTGCTCTTGTTGTGGATCTTCTTCCTCAATCAACGTGCTCTCAAGCTCGTTAACATAATTATCTAAATCAACATCTTCTTGCTCTAGCTGAGGGACCTCATCATGCTCTTGATCTAGCGGAGGGGCGTCGTTGAATCCAAGAAGATTGTCTTTCTTGTCCTTTTTGTATCGGAGCAAAACCAAGACCAAATCTTGGAACTCACCACCATCCTTGTGAAATGAAAACTCAGTCATAAGCCAGTTGGTCTTCTCTGGAATCTTTCCATTTACTTTCCTGTTGAACACGAGACTCCGCTTGTAACCGACCGGCCTCTTGTTTCCGTCCTCGATGCTAATCTTCTTACCGGTGGATTTCCATGTGCCGCCTTCGCTCTCTCCTCTTCCTGGTACGGTTCGGCTTCGTTTTGTCCTCGGAACGAAGTAGTACCAAAGGTTTTTCTTGAACAGAGGATCCGAGACGTGATCTAGAAGCCACGGCACGTCCTCGTACAMATCCATAGTTTTTATGTCACTGTTGTTGTTTCTCTCCACCATGTTGCGAAGATAACGCCTCACGGCCCCTAAATCGCTTGGACCAAATCGTGAACCAGGACGATGAACCATCGTGAACTCGACAAGAAGAAGACAAGTAAAATCTGTTTTTGACTTTGGTTGTGTGGGAATTGTGAAACAGAAAAGGGAGAGGGAGAGGCAAATATATAGGTAGGGCTTCACTGTGGCCTCCACCAGCACCAGATGCGAAATTAAGAGGATAAATAAAGATTAATATTATTGTATTCTTTTGGTTTATCTTATTGTATTCTCTTCTTAGGTTAGGAATTGTGATTAGTAAGAGGATAAATAAAGATTAATATTTTCAAATCTAAGAGCCATTTGTTTTAGGCTCCAACCCCGAATAGTATATATGTTTTAGGGGTCTCAAATTTACAAAARTTAGTGTAGTGGTGATAAACCTTCAATTAGACCCATTACACTTCAATGACACAAGTTCAAAACCTTGTATGGCCAATTACGATTCGAAACCGACAAAGCCACAAATTATTAAGCCTATTATGCGATAGTTTCTT